ATGATTCTCTCTCATCATTGATGTTTCTCTCTCTCTCTCTCTCCTTCTCCCTCTCCCTTCCTCTCTGAAATCAATAAAAAAATTTTTTTTTTTTTAAAAAAAAGAAAGAAACATCAATGATAAAAGAGAAATGGGGGAGATGAGGACACATTTGTAATACCTTAACTAATAAAGAATTAAAAAATATGATAAAAGAGAATCATTGATCGGCTGCCTCCTGCACACCCCACACTGGGGATGGAGCCCACAACCGGGGCATGTGCCCTAACCAGAATCGAACCATGACCTCCTGGTTCATAGGTCAACCCTCAACCACTGAGCCACGCCGGTTGGGCCTCCTCAGAGCTTATTTTAAAATATGTTGGAGAAAAGATGCTTATGTTAGCACTGTAACATTATGATGAAGTAATAACTGGCCTGGAGTAACAGGTCAGGGCAGCTGTTGTGTGGTTTATTGTAGCTGCTATGAATGAGGAGAGGAAACTTTATCCATAACACAAAAAGAAATTGGAATCCGTTAACCATGCCTGATTTTAAACAGGCTTTCTTTGGAAAGAAGCAGTTAGTTATGCAACATTTCATGAGTTAAAAGGGTTTAAACCCAGGTTAAAAAAATACCAAAGTACTTTTTCCTGAGGGCAGAGTGGACTTAGAAAACATTCAGTCCTGCACTTCTGTTTTGTTGGGTTTTTTTTAATCTTCACCCGAGGATATGTTTTTATTGATTTTTACAGAGAGAAGAAGGGAGAGAGATTGAAAGAGAAATATCGATCAGTTCCTTCCCACATCCACGACTGGGAATCGAACCCAAAACCCGGGTATGTGTCCTGACCGGGAATTGAACCCGAAACCTTTTGGTGTACAGGACGATGCTCCAACCAACTGAGCCACCCGGCCAGGGCGTCCTACACTTTTGACGTTGAAATAATGGCAAACGCAAGTAAATAATCATTCATTCATCCAAAGCTACACAGTACTGTAAAGCTTGGACAGATTGTACTAGCAAGGAATTTATATGCATGAAATTGACAGTTGTAAACAAAATTCATCAGGTTTCACGTATATTTCTGGATCTGGATTCTGAAGTTTCAGATTCATGTGCTGTTAATCTTGAGCTTTCCAACTCACCCTTTTTGACTGGTATATAATATTCCACAGCCTGCTCACACCATAGTCAGTTTCTTTTTTAAAATATTTTTATTGATTTCAGAGAGGAAGGGAGAGAGAGATAGAAATATCAATGATGAGAGAGAATCATGGATCGGCTGCCTCCTGCACACCCCACATTGGGGATCGAGCCCACAACCCGGGTGTGTGCCCTTGACTGGGAATCGAACAGTGACCTTTTTCTTAGGTCGATGCTCATCCACTGAGCCAAGCCAGCCAGGCTAGTCGGTTTTTTATTGATACAACTTTGGAATGTTTTCAGTTTTGGCCCAACAGCACTGCCATGTGCACAGTTGGCTAGATTTGGAGTGGTAAAGTACCCTTGTGACCTCCAGGAAGGTTCTAAACACCCAGTATTGCCCAGCCAGCGTGGGTCAGTGGTTGAGCATCGACCTATGAACCAGGAGGTCACAGTTTGATTCCCAGTCAGGGCACATGCCTGGGTTGTGGGCTCGATCCCCAATGTGGGGCGTGCAGGAGGCAGCCGCTCAATGATTCTCTCATCATTGCTGTTTCTGTCTCTCTCTATCCCGCTCCCTTCCTCTCTGAAATCAATAAAAATATATTTAAAAAATAAACACCCAGAATTATTCCTTCCCTCTCCCATCCCACCCTCACCTCACCCATTGGAGCCAATCCAGAGGGATATCCTGGGAAAGGATTTGGTGCATGATGGGAGTCCAACCAGCACCCAGCCCCGCATGCTTTTTCCTCTTGGTCTGGGCTCGCCGCAGAGCCTGGGCCTTAGACTGACTGTGGGATGTCAGGGCATAAATTCTGGAAAGTGGGGCCTGGGGCCTGGCTTGCTCTGGCCTGTGGCTCTTCAGGGGACCTGGGATCCGGGCTCTTCGGCCCAGGGGCACAGCCCCACTCACCACGGGGAAACCAACTGCATCCTCCCACTGGACCTCCGTTTTGCACAGGGAGGGAGTGTTGCCTAATGGTTAGGGGTGGGGCTGAGGAATCAGACAGACCTGGGTTTTGGAGCCTCAGCTCCACCCTTTACCAGCTGAAGAGATAGACGGTGCTTAGATCTAGGACACAGGGCCAGTAGAATGTTGACAAGTGTGGCAGGGACTTGGAGTTGTCCACACAGCATATGCTCCAGCCTCTACTCTTCTCTCTTCCTTAATAACAGGAGTCTGTATTGTGGATGGTTACATGCCCAGCTAAAAGCCTACAGTCCTCCACCCTGTCCCCCCCCCCCCCGCCCGTGGTTGAGCATCGACCTATGAACCAGGAGGTCGAGATTCAATTCCCAGTCAGGGCACAGGCCCAGGTTGCAGGCTCAATCCCCAGTGTGGGGCGTGCAGGAGGCCGCCGATCGATGATTCTCCTCATCATTGATGTTTCTATCTCTCTCTCCCTCTCCTTTCCTCTCTGAAATCAATAAAAATATATTAAATTAAAAAAACAAAAAAACGAAGCCCCTACAGTTCCCAGCCTCCCTTGCAGATGGAATGGCCAATAAAATGTTGGTGGAAGTATTGAATGAGGCTTTGAGGAAAGTGCTTTAAAGCAGGGAGGTATCCGCCTGTGGCTCTAACCACTTACATTTTCTGGAAAATAGGTGTGATGGCTGGAGCTCCAGCAACCATGTTGTGACCGGGAGGCAACCTCAAAGACGGAAGTCACGCACTGAGGGTGGTGGAGCAGAAAGAAGCCCGAGGCATCAGTGATGACAGGACAGTGCCACGCTAGCCCCGGACTGTCTGCCCGTGAGTTTCTTCAATGTGCGAGAAAATGAATCACCATCTTGTTTTTTGTTGTTTTTTAATTGATTTCAGAGAGGAAGAGAGAGAGAGAAACATCCGTGATGAGAGAGAATCATGGATGGGCTGCCTCTAGCACGTCCTACAACTGGGGATCAAGCCTGCAACCCGGGCACGTGCCCTGACCGGGAATCGAACCGTGACCTCCTGGCTCATAGGTCGACGCTCAACCACTGAGCCACGCCGTCCGGGCCCCACCATTTTGTTCAAGTCGTTGTCATTTTGGGTGCGTGCAATGAGCAGCCAGACACCATTCCTGTCCGCGTGATGAAGACGCTCCTAGGGTACCCACGTGAACACGGGGGCCATGTGAGCTGGATGACAGTTTAGTGGATACATCACAGTTTCATTGTCCCCACAGATGAATGGGCAGATGTTTCCCTGGAGGAAGGTCTCTCGTGATGTGCCGCCAGCTCTGTTCCCAGTCTTGTCCGGGGCAGCCTATGGTCTTGAATGAAGATATGAACAGACTTCATGTAGGGTAAGAGCCAAACCCGAGGCGTGAACTGGGTAACAGCCAGGATCTAAGCCAGCCGTGGGCAAACTACGGCCCGGGGGCCGGATCCGGCCCGTTTGAAATGAATAAAACTAAAAAAAAAAAAAAGACCGTACCCTTTTATGTAATGATGTTTACTTTGAATTTATATTAGTTCACACAAACACTCCATCCATGCTTTTGTTCCGGCCCTCCGGTCCAGTTTAAGAACCCATTGTGGCCCTCGAGTCAAAAAGTTTGCCCACCCCTGATCTAGGATATCCCGACAGGCTGGAAGCAGCATCAGATCTAACACAGTGGCATCAACGGAGCCCCGTGTGCCCCCCTCTGAGTCCAGGGTCAGGGGGCACCGTGTCACCAGCTGCACGTTTGGAAAGGGCAGGGCAGTCATTGCCTTCCAGGCTTCGAGGGCACGAGGAGCAGATGTGATCCCCTTCCCGTTCAGGACCAGCAAGGTCTTCCACCACGGAGGCTGGTCTCAGCCTGGGGGCCACAGCTCATGAGGGACGGGGACAAACGCAGGGGAGGGCGGCTGGCGAGGGGGCTTGGAGCCAGGTCGCTAGAGAAATAGCTAAAGGCCTCGGGGGTGCTTTGTCCAAAAAGGAAAAAAGTAGGTGATGTAATGTCTCCAGGTGGCTGGAGGGGAATACTCCCGGGAGAGTAAAGAACTCTCTAAGGTCAGAGGGACTGTCTGGGAGTGAGTGGCCCGTCCCTGGAGGTGACCAAGGAGAGGCCAGACGCCTGCTCAGTAGGCCCAGTGCAGTGGGAGGCTGGTCCTGCCTCTGCCCACCTGACAGGCTCCACCAGCAGAGAGTTGGACTTGACGACCCCTTTTTATTTTTTTTATTGATTTCAGAGAGGAAGAGAGAGAGAGAAACATCCGTGATGAGAGAGAATCATGGATGGGCTGCCTCTAGCACGTCCTACACTGGGGATCGAGCCCGCAACCCGGGCACGTGCCCTGACAGGAATCGAACCATGACCTCCTGGTTCATAGGTCGACGCTCAACCACTGAGCCACACCGTCAGGCCTGAGGTCCTTTTAGAGCTGAAGCCCAGAATCAGGAGAGGATGGGGGGTGCTGCCTTGGGCTCTGGGCAGTCTCGGTGAGGGAGCCACAGGGCGCTTCAGGGGCCTCACAGGTGTCCTGGCGCTGGGAACACCCCCAGGCCTGCTCTCCTCGGAGCCCGAAGCTCTGGCTCAGCCGGGCCTGCTCTGGGGCTGGAACCACAGCCACATCCGCCTTTGGCTGAGCTTGTCTGCGTGGCTGCAGTCGGCTGGGCGCCGTGAGGCCGGCAGTGCCCAGCTCAGTGCACCTATTATGTAGGTGAGGACACTCACGCCTCAGTCCCATCATCCCCTGTGGACTCCCCAGGACTTCGCCCCTGACCCGCAGTCAGATGAGAAGGGCTGTAGGGGGTGTGGGGGGGGCGGGGGCTGCACCAGGCCTGCTCCCGGTGGCTCAGCTCAGGCCTCCCCATTTGTTCTGCACCTGCTCTTTCTCCCGGGCGGGCATACAGGGCCCCCGGGAGCAGGTCCAAGGCTGGGGGCAGGTTACGGCCTGGCCCCTGCCCCGTAGGTCGTCTTTCCCTTCAGGCCCTCGGGGTGGACCGGCTGTGGGAACAGGGGAGGGAAGGCGGGAGGCCAGCGTGTGGGGCTGCGGGGGCCATGTGGTATTCTCATTACCAGCCAGCAGTGCCGGCCAGCCCAGCCGCCCCCTTGGCCACTGTGGCTGCCTTCACACCTCCGCTCTGCCTGTTGACACAAGGCTGCCTCCCTCAGGGCACGAGGTGTCACCTTGGGAACGAGGGTGTGCAGGGCCCTTCAAAACAGCCGGCAGCAGGCCCCCTCGGAATCCCTGGAGCGCACTTCTGGGGTGTGGGGGGGCTGCAGGTCCCCACTCTGGGGGGCCCCGGGGAAAGGCAGATTCTATGTCCCCAGATGGCGAGGGAGGACACCCTGAGTCCGCCTGCCCAGATACTGTTTCTCCCCGGCCCAGGTGCTGGCGCGTGACTCTGGGCACAGCCAGGGAAGCCCAATGACAAGGCCGTGCCAGGCAGAGCATCGTTGGTGTCACCGGGAGGCCCAGAGACTGACAGCCACCAGGAGGAGGTCACAGAGCAGCTGCTGGAGCTGGAGCTCCCTGCCCCAGTCTTCCCAGGCCTTCTGTAACGTCAGTGCCCAGCGCTGCCTGCATAGCCATTCAGGGCGCGAACCCAGGACTTCGGGCCGCTGTTCTCCTCTTGCTCAGGTGGGAGCCAGTCCCAGAGAGGACCATCCTCTGCCTAAGGTCCCCAGAGCCAGGATTTGACCCCACAAGGGCCGTGCACGACACCCCGGGAAATCCCCCGGCCCGGGGCCCAGGCTCCAGCGGGGACCAGTCGCTGCCCGCTGGGAGCTCGAGCCGGAGGAGAAAGAGGAGCCAGTGGGCTCGGGGTCTGCGGTGGCCTGGTGTGCTGGGACCCCGTGGGCGACAGACCTGCTCCCTGGCTAGTCAGCGGGGCGGGTTGCAGAAGGAAAGGAGGGGCCTGAAATTGTGGGGTTTCCTCCAAGCGGAGGTGGGACATTCCAGGCAGCGGGGAAAGGTGTGAGCCCACCTCTGGGAGTGGAAGGCCCAGGGCAATGCCAAGCGGGACGGGGATGGGGATGGGGACGGGTGGAGAGGGTGCGGATGAGCAGACGGGAGCTGGAATTCCTGTTGGGTGAGGAGTTTGGACTCAGGGAGGCAATGAGTCCACAGAAATTCTGAGGAAGGAGAGAATGTGGAGGAAGGAGGGATGGGTGTGGCCACTGTTGGCTGGAGAAGCAGAGGGATGGGGAGCTGGCTGGGGGCCACAGGTACCCAGCGGGCAGGGCATGGAGGGAAACCCCCTGCTCTCCCTCCAACAAGAAAGCTGAGCTGAGGAGGCTGGTGTGCCAGGGCCCGGTCGCGGCAGCTTAAGCCTAGAGCCAGCCTGCCTGGGCTCAGTCCCCTTGAGCCTCAGTCTTACCATCTGTGAAATGGGTTTCTTTGCTGAGATGATGAGGGCTGGCACCATGTGTTCAGCTCGTGGCACTCCACAAATCCTGCCTGCCGCCCTGCTGGCGAGGAGTGATCGTCTGAAGTCCTGCAGCTCATGGGAGGGACGAAGGGGAGAATGAGTGGTGCCCACTCTTGCTGGAATGCAAACAAGCGTGGGGGGTGGTTCTGCAAAGACTCCCTCCGCCCTCCTTTTCTTCCTTCCCTTTTTTCTTTCCTTTACCAAAGCAAGGAATGCTGTTACAGAAAATCGAGATGAGCTCTAGCTGGTTTGGCTCAGTGGATAGAGCGTCAGCCTGTGGACTGAAGGGTCCCAGGTTCGATTCCAGTCAAGGGCACATGCCTGGGTTGCGGGCTCGATCCCCAGTGTGGGGCAAGCAGGAGGCAGCCAATCAATGATTCTCTCTCATGGTTGATGTTTCTATCTTTCTATCCCTCTCCCTTCCTCTCTGAAATCCATAAAAATATATTTTAAAAAAGAAAATCGAGACGATACCCTGTATAGACAATCAAAAAGAAGGGAATCTTAAATGCCCCAGTTTCATCCACCCAGAGAGAACCACCATGGCATGTGGGTCCATCTCTCCGCATCCCAACCCTTTCTAGGCATCCCCACAAATACACGAGCACTTACATGGAGGCATGGAGAGAGAGCGTGTCGGGCTTTTTATGTGTTGTGGGTGTTCTTCTGTATATATACCCTGGTATTTTATTTTTATAAATAACTTTTTATGTCAGAAAAAAAGGTGTTGGGCACACAGTGTAATATACAGATCCTGTAACATAGAAATTCACACCTGACACCTATATGATAACCAATGTCCCCCCGATAGGCTTAATTTATAAAAAGAACTTAATGGAGATACAATTCACATACAATACATTCACCTGTTTATTTTTTTAAAATATATTTTCATTGATTTCAGAGAGGAAGGGAGAGGGAGAGAGAGAGAGAGAAACATCAATGATGAGAGAATCATTGATTGGCTGCCTCCTGCACGCCCCACACTGGGGATCGAGCCCACAACCCAGGCATGTGCTCTTGACTGGAATTGAACCCGGGACCCTTCAGTCCACAGGCCAACGCTCTATCCACTGAGCCAAACCAGCTAGGGCACATTTATAATTTTTTAAATTGTGGCTATATATATGTGTGTGTGTGTGTGTGTGTGTGTGTGTGTGTGTGTAAACATTAAAATTTGCCATCTTAATCGTTTTAAGTGTGCAATTCAGTGGCATTAATTACACTCAATGTGTGCAACCATCACCACTTCTATGTCCAAAACTTTTTTTTATCACCTCAAGTAGGAACTCTGTACCCCATTAAACAACAGCTCTCCCTTACCCACATCCCCCCAGCCTCTGGTAACCTCTAACGGGCTTCCTCTGTTATGAATTTGACTATTGTAGGTATTTCCTATAAGTGGAATCATACAGTATTTGTCTTTTGGTGTCTGGCTTACTTCATTTAGCATAATGTATTCAAGGGTCATCCATGCTGTAGCATGTGTCCAAACTTCATTCCTTTTCATGGCTGAATACTATTCCATTGTGTGGATCTACCACATTGGTTTACCCATTCATCAGTCAGTGGACACTGAGGTTGTTTCTACCATTTGTTTATTGCTGACAACCAGTGACTAATGCTGTTATGAATGTTTGCCTTACAAATACCTATTCTAGACCCTGTGGGTATTTAAAGAGCACATTGTTCTGTGACCAGTTTTTCTCACTGATGTATTAAGATCATTTTCTGTATCCATACATACATTCTTTCTTTTTTTTTTAATCCTCACCCGAGGATATTTTTTCATTGATTTTCAGAGAGAGTGGAAGAGAGAGGGAAAGACAGAGAGAAACATCGATTGTTTGCCTCCTGCACGCGCCCCGACCATGGCCCAGGCCGGGGAGGAGCCTGCAACCGAGGTACGTGCCCTTGACCGGAATCGAACCCGTGACCCTTTGGTCCACAGGCCGACGCTCTATCCACTGAGCCACACTGGCTAGGGCAGTACCTGTATTTCTAAACCAAGATTTTGGAGGCCTGCCATGTACTCCATGGGGTGGTGGTAACAGTTTAGTAACAAGTTCTCTGGTAGACACTGAGATGCCTTACAGTTTTCCACGGAGGAATATCCTTATACTTACAATTTTACAAATAGTTTAAAATTGTACATTAACATTCAGTTTTAAACTATATAATCTCCTTGTCAAAAATGTAAACATTACAGGTGAAGAGTAAAGTCTTCCTTGACTCCCTCCCCCGCCCCCAACCCAGACCTCCGCTCCTACCAAATAAGACTGGATCTGTTATTATGGATTTGGTGAGAACTGGGGCCTCTTTTACACAGTAGATTTTTACAATGTTCACTTCATGATTTGACATACGAGTAATTTGAGTTACGAGCTCCGTCACGGAACGAATTAAACTCATAAGTCAAGGCCCCACTGTAGTTTAAAATTGTACATTCACATGCAGTTTTAAACTATATAATCTCCTTGTCAAAAATGTAAACATTACAGATGAAGATTAAAGTCTTCCTTGACTCTCTCCCCCGCCCCCAACCCAGACCTCCGCTCCTACCAAATAAGACTGGATCTGTTATTATGGATTTGGTGAGAACTGGGGCCTCTTTTACACAGTAGATTTTTACAAAATGCAGTGTGTCATTTGATGACTTTCTATGTAGGGATTTTTTAGATTCTTGTTTTTGCTTATATCAGTGGTGCTTCACGGAATGTTTTCTTTTTCTTTTTTTTTCTTTTTTTTCCTGCAGCTTGGTTCTGTCACTCAGCAGTATGCCTTCACTTGTGCTTTTAATCTTTTCTAATCAGGATGAATTCCCATCAGGGGAACCGCTGGGCAAGGGCACGCTGAGGCTGTCTTGAAGTCCTGCCCCAGGGGGTCCCCAGAGGTGGGGACCTGGTTATGGGCGGCCACCAGCTCGGGCCAGCACACCTGTGTGACCGCCTGTGCCAGACGCTGACCGCGCACGCCCAGGGCCTGGGCTGGGGCATGACCTCCAAGGGGGAAGAAAACGTCCTCGGCTCAGGCCCAGGATTGCATCCGGGATTTCTCCGTGGGGGACCCTCCAGAGCCGAGGACGGAGTTCATTCTATCCTCAGTTTGGGGCCCATAAGCAATACTGATCACGTGAGACCCTTCTGCTCGATTCATTATCTGGTCCATTTAAGCTCTTGCACTTCCTCTAGGGCAGTGGTTCTCAACGTTCCTAATGCGGCGACCCTTTAATACAGTTCCCCATGTTGTGGTGACCCCCAACCATAAAATTATTTTCGTTGCTACTTCATCACTGTCATGTTGCTACTGTTATGAATTGTCATGTAAATATCTGATATGCAGGATGTATTTTCATTGTTACAAATTGAACATAATGAAAGCATAGTGATGAATCACAAAAACAATATGTAATTATATATGTGTTTTCCGATGGTCTTAGGCGACCCCTGTGAAAGGGTCATTCGACCCCCAAAGGGGTCGCGACCCACAGGTTGAGAACCGCTGCTCTAGAGGTTCCCCACTCGGTCCAGGGACATCTCTGTACCCCAGCCTCTGGCAAAGGAGGCCGCACAGACTCTGCACCCCCCCCCCCCAGGCCCTGCCCAGGCATTCCAGCTCAGTCTACCAGCCCCCACTCTGCTTCTTGTTGGGTCTAAAGTCAGGTACCTTTGGGGAGGTGGGATGGGGTGGCCTCCTCCCCCTGCTCTTGGGAAGGAGGACCTGGAGCTGGCTGAGGGCCCCAGCCACCCAGCGACTTGGTGTGGGAGCCCAGGTGGGGGTTTCTAGCCCTGCGGCCTGGTCATTGTGCTGGCACCTCACTGCTGTGAGCAGTCAGCCAGGCCAGGGGCGGGGTTAGCGGGGCCCGAAACCTGTACACCCTGCCTGGAAAGAGCTGCGTCCTGTGCTTTCGGGGGGGTGGGGGGGGCTGGGGCTGGATGTGCCCCACGTTGGCAGCCGAGCTGGGCCTGCAGATCCTCTCCAGGGAGCTGGCAAGGGCTCAGAGCCCAAGGTGTCCCGCCTGGAGTTTCGGTCGGCTGGTGGTTTGACTCTTTCAGCCTTCGTTCCAGGGCTGCGTGTGGGGAGGCGGGAAGGGACCAGAGCCCTCCTGAGCCGGTCCCCTGCCCCGCTTCCCCTCTAGGCTCCATCGTGCTCTGCCTCTCTGCACACTGATGGACGGATGAGCAAACGGGCCCAGAAAAGACCATCGGCCTGTCGGGGTCACAGAGCCCATCACGCCGGCGCTGAGCCAGCTTCACCCCTTCGTAGGCCAGCCCGGCACCTCTGGCACCTCTGGCACCTCTGCTTAGCTCCCCGTGCCCACCACTCCCACCCTGCCCTGGCCCTGGCTCTGGCTCCAGGGAAGAGGCCTCTCTCTGACTGGTCAGAGGTAGGTCTGCCTTGTACGGATCCTAAGATCCCAGGCGGCGGGGCAGCGCCCTCTGCTGCCTGTGGCTGGAAATGCAAGGACGCTGTACCCGGTCCACCTATCCATACTGTGTGCATGACTCCGGGTCAGCACTGTGGCCTGAGACGGGCTTTCTCACCAAACGTGCAGAGCTCCCAGGACATCTGGGCAGGCAGTCGGGAGTCCCTGCTGCATTTTACAGTCGGAGAAACGGGCCACTTTATGCCTCAGTTTCCCCACCTTTCACTGTAAAGCTCAGACCCCCCCGCCATGTGCCCAGATGAAGCAAAGGAGAGCGTGTGACCCCCCTAAGGGCAGAGGCAGGGTCTGCTTGCCCTGCTCTCAGCCCGGCTCCCAGGGCTCCTCTTGATCCTTCCCCGGAATCCGCCAAATCTCTCCCCTTTCTTCCCACCCCCTCCCTCCTCATCACCCCTCTGCCTCCTGTGACTTCCACTGGCTGCATATCCAGCTGATCCACGGCCAGGATAATCAGATTATCGTGGTTCCAGAATAATCTATTCCATATGGCTTGCCAACTCAGTGGCTCCGGGAGCCAGAGGTGTGAGGAGAGGGGGTGATCCCAGTGGGAAGGGGCTTCCTGGGAGCCTTGGGCTGGAGCTGGGCGGCTGCTGGGGAAGGAGGGAGGGAGAGAGGAGGAGGAGGAGGAGTTGGGAGCCTCGTGCTGGGCCCTCTGACTGCTCTGGGCTCCAGGCGGCCTCAGCCCGCCTCCAGCCCAAGCACATCCTCATGCATCTGCTTCGGACCCATGGGTGGGGGTCGGGAGACAGGCGCCCCAGGCCTAGTCCACGCTCTGCACTGGGAGGCGGCTCACTAGAGTCTGGGAGGTGTTACTTTTCAGATCCGCATTCTCTGGCTCCATCCTCAGGGACTCTGGTGCTGGATGCCTTTCTCTTTTTCATGTCCACAGGTCCCTTTGACATGGAGCAGGGTTCCAGGGGGCTTGAGGGCATCACCCCCGCCTGGCACCCTCACTCTCAGGGCAGCCCTCCTGGAGGAAAGGAGCCATCGAGCCCCCCAGACTCAGAGGTGGCAGGGGCAACACCAGCTGTGGCCCCAGACAGAGCCAGACGGACCCCAGCTCTGCCCCTTGCAGCCATGTGACAGGGGACACCCTCTCGCCACTCTGTTGCCTCATCAACCAAGCGAGTCCGTAACACCTGCGTTGCAGCAGGGCTGTGAGCTGTGACCCAGCCGGGCCCCAGCACAGTGCCAGGCCCCAGGGGGCAGGCTTAGCGTGCACGTGGGTGCTGCACGAAGCGTGTCTGTGGGTGTCATTCGATCCTTGCCACGTCTTCACAGTCGGTGCCACACCCCGCGAGGCACAGAAGCAGGAGCTGGGGCTCAGAGACAGTGAGTAACACAGGTAAGACATGGGACATGGCAGGACAGGGATCCCAGCCCACACTCCAGAGGGGTGTCCTAGGCTGTCTGAAGGTGAGGGCTTCATAAACAACAAGGCTGGAGGACCCCTGGCAGGAGGGGACCCCCAAATTAGGAGGTTCCCAGGGGATGCGCCTGCTGACGCTAGGCAGGCTGGTGGTACAGAGCTGCTTCCTTCCCCTGGGGCTCTGGCTCCAGCCCGACAGGAATGAAGGGCTGCCAGGGGCATATTGACATAGCACCTTCGATTAGCACCCATATGTCGTATGTTGGGGGGCTGCCGGGAAATGCGGGCACTGGGGCTGGGAGGTGGGAGAGGGGGGCAGCACCCAGACCCCGGCTTGGCTCGGCCTGAGGAGACCGGCTGGTTCCTAGCAGGAAGGCAGAGGCCTACCGGGGTGCTGTCCTGACTGCCCCCCGCCCCCCTGAACTCTCACCTCTGCTCAGCGGGGCGGCGCCCAGGGCTCATTTCCCAGCCTTACACTTTGGCAAGCGGAGGGAAGGCTCGGGCAGGGGAGCAGGAGCCACTGGCCCAGGCACTTGTCAAAACACAGGGCCCGGAGGTGTGAAGTCCTCACCCCAGCGGGAGGGCGTGCGGCCCTGCCGCCCGGAGAACTCATTAACTCGGGCAGCTCCCAAATGAACCCACCAGAGCGGCTGGTGATAAGGAGATCAAAGGTGACAGGCATGGGGAAGGGAAGAGGGAGGCTGGCTGGCAGGAGGTGGCAGGGCCCGGCTCCAGATCAGGGGTCCCCCCTCTGCCCCCACTGGGCTCCATCAGGCCGACGGACCACAGCCTTTGCACAGTCTGGGCCCAGAGACCCCAGGGGCAACAGGAGAGGGGGAACTCCCAGGTGGCATCTCCAGTTTGTTAGCATTTAGGCTGAAGACCCTGCCTCTTTCATGCCATTTTTGTGGGCTCTTCGTCTCCACACTCACCCCTGGGTCTTTTTATTACAGTGGGGCCTTGACATACGAGTGTCCCGACTAACGAGTTTTTCGAGATACAAGCCGTCTCTCGGCCGATTTTTTGCTTTGAGTTGCGAGCTAAAATTCGGGTTCCGAGCCAGCTTCAGATACCCCACCCGCCACAGTGAACGCCACAACATCAGCCCAGCATCACGTGTCTCACTCGTTCACTTTGTGATTTGACATACGAGTAATTTGAGTTAGGAGCTCCATCATGGAACGAATTAAACTCGTAAGTCAAGGCCCCACTGTATTATTATTATTATTATTATTATTCTATAGTTATAATTTACTAACAGAATAAGACTTCCACAAGTTGCCATGTGTGAGTTTTCTGTGAATATATATTTCTGTGTGCATAGATTAATGAAGAAGGGTTTGGAAAGTAGGACCAGGCGTCACAACCATTTTAGAGAGTGAGAATCTTAAACTTTTTTAAAATATTTTTTTACTGATTTTAGAGAGGAAGGGAGAGGGAGAGAGACCTAGAAACATCAATGTGAGAGAATCATGGATCGGCCGCAACCTGGGCATGTGCCCTTGACTGGAATCGAACCAGGGACCCTTCAGGCCACAGGCCGATGCTCTATCCACTGAGCCACACCGGCTAGGGCTCCCCTGGGTCTTTTTAAGCCTCCCCCAGCACTGCAACAGAGACCCGCTTGTCACCAGCCCTATGGTGCCCTCTCCTGCTCCGATCTCTCGGTGGCTCCCGTGTAAGCGCTCAGTGAATGTTAGGTATTCGGTCCCAGATCTGAGATTCCTCAGGAGCCGGACCTGTGTTTTCAGGACAGTCTTGTCCAAGTACATACACTTGATTTTGTCCTTAATGAAATACAAATTCACTTGGGATCATCGTTGCCAACAAACCAGTGGAGATCACAACCATGTGGGGATTAGAGGGATTTTTGATATTCAGAAGGCTGGCCACAGGCGCCCAGGCCCTCTGAGACCCACCACCCTCCTGCCTCTCAGCCTTTACCCCACACCCTCCTGTGCCGTGCACAGCACACTTTGCCAAGGCCCAACCACGTGTTCCCTCCCGTCCAGCGGGGTCAAAGGGGGGCCCAGTCACTGGGCTCCAATACCAGGATCTTGGCTTGAATCCGGAGGCCCAAGAAGGCATCCATCAGCCCAGGTCCAGGGAGGGCAGACCCTGCTGGCGGCTGCAGGCTGAGGGGGCCAGGCTCTCCTCGAGAGTACAGTGGGGCCTTGACTTACGAGTGTCCCGACTAACGAGTTTTTCGAGATACGAGCCGTCTCTCGGCCGATTTTTTGCTTTGAGTTGCGAGCTAAAATTCGGGTTACGAGCCACCTTCAGATACCCTAGCCAGAATGGCTACCTCAATAAATCAATACACAAGCGCTGGCAAGAATGTGGAGAAAAGGAAATCCTAGTATACTGTGGTACTTTTTGATTTGACATACGAGTAATTTGAGTTACGAGCTCCGTCACGGAACGAATTCAACTCGTTAGTCAAGGCCCCACTGTATATGGGCCCTGCGCTGTGCACCCAGGCAGGTTTGCACTGCCTCTCCTGGCTGTGACTGGGCATAAGCATCCTGAGACAGACTGCCAAGGAGGGTTACAGAAGGTGTTAGAGGAGGTCACTGCCTAGAAGATAAAGAGACAAGGGGAGCGAGCCCTCGCTGGTTTGGCTCAGTGGATAGAGTGTCGGCCTGTGGACTGAAAGGTCCCTCGATCGATTCCCGGTCAAGGGCACATGCCTGGGTTGCGGGGTTGATCCCCAGTGTGGGGCGTGCAGGAGGCAGCCAATCAATGATCCTCTTTCATCATTGATGTTTCTCCCTCTCCCTTCCTCTTTGAAATAAATAAAAATATGTTTTTAAAAAGAGAGAGAGAGAGAGACAAGGGGAGGGCAGTGGTGGGCTGAGATGCCAGGGGAGAAGGAACCAAGCTACTTCCCTTTCTTTCCCACCAGCTCACCCACCGGTCCCCTGAGGCTGGAAGCCGTGGAGGATGCGAAACAGTAGATCTTGGCACTTCTCCCAAACACATGAAGCCAGACACCGGGTACCGCGCAGCCCAGCTGGAGGGCTTCGTGCATGAAGTAGCTGTTAGGACAGGGTGCTGACGCCAACCCGAGCGGCCAGGTAGGCAATATAAATAAATCCTCTGAGAGATTCCCTATGTGACAGCCATGTTGTCTGTAAATAGAGACCATCTGTGTGCCTTTCGTTTTTTCTTACTGCACAAGCTCCGGGAAGATGCTGAATAGGCGTGGGGAGGAGCAGACATCCTCGCCCTCTTCTCACTAATAGGGGAAAAGCTTCCAGTCTTTCACTATTTAATGTGATGTCAACTGTATGTTCTCTGTAGATGCCTTTTGTTTTTTTAGATATGTTTTTATTGATTTCAGAGAGGGAGAGATTGAAATATCCATGGTGAGAGAGAATCATTGATCAGCTGCCTCCTGCACGCACCCCACTGGGGATCGAGCCCGCAACCCAGGCATGTGCCCTGGACCCGAATCGAACCCGGGATGCTTCAGTCCACAGGCCGACACTCTATCCACCGAGCAAACCCAGCTAGGGCTGTAGATGCCTTTTAGATGGTTGAGAAAGTTCCTGTCTATGCCTAGCTTGCTGAGAATTTTTATCTTGAAGGAGTGTTGAGTTTTGTCAAATGTCTTTTCTGTGTCATTTCCACGGCAAAGGTTGTTACACCTGCCCCAGAGTGACAACACCAGCCAGAGGCCGGGGTGGCAACAGGCCAACCCCCGAGGCTGCCAGGCCGAAGGCTCACCCCTCCCTCAGCCCAGATGGTCCAGCAACCTGACCAGATGCAGCCTGGGATAGCTTCCTCATGGTGGCTCCCCCAACGGGGGTGGCATCCAGGACGGCCTGCCTCCAGGAGGAATGGATTGCTGATCCCCTCACTCCAGCGGGAATGGGGCCTCACTCCCGGCCCTCGCTGATGCAGACCTGGATGCAGCAGGCCCCTAGGATCCCATTAGACAAATTGGAACAAAGGTGCAAGAACATTCATTTATTTGCATAAGGTCCCCAGCAGGTGAGGACAGCCCGAGACCTAGGTATTGGACTTCAAGCTCTGTGATCCTGCTTCCTTTTACCTGCTGAGCTGGCCCAACACCCGGGGCTGGGCGCCCGCAGGAGGCCCGAGTGGCAGGGGCTGGTGCCCTGGGATGGCTCAGGTGGGGCCAACCTCCTGC